TCAAGTTCTCTCTCTCTCTCTCTCTCTCTCTCTCTCGTCTGTATTAAACACTTTTATAACAAGTAATGTATTTTTGTATTCAAATAATAGACTAGGAGTTAACCTTTTAATGGATCGATTAATTTGCTGCCTAAGAAATTTGCCACAAAAATAGCTGAATATTATCTAAAAATAGACATTTTTATCAATAAGGTGTTTTGTGCACCACATAATAAATTATGGTCAATATTTGTTCAGTATTTATGACGTTAGTCGTGGTATTTATTTCACAATAAATCTCGGTATTAAATTATATGGAAAGCTAGTTGTAATTAACGTCTAATCATTTACCATGTTATATATATATATAGTTGCTATTTTATTGAGCTGGATTATATTAAATATTACATTTAGAAACAGTGTACTTATGCACTATTAATATTGCATAAATAACTGCTTATTAATGTAAATGATGTAGGTAAGTGTTTATGAAACACTCGAAAATACCAAGTTTATTTTTATAACTTTATATATAGCTATTATAAGCGGTTACAAACTTTACACTACTTGTTTGATAAATAATTGTAATCTATTTTATGTGAATTATTTTTGTAATTAACTATTTGTTGTAAACTGTAACTTTATAATAAGGTGAAATATAAATGATCAATATAGTTTATAATTGTTAACACATAAGGTTAGCACTAATATTAGTAATTTAAAGTTATTATAAATATATTTTTACTATTATACCCACCTTTTATTTTACATTGCTAAACTGACTTGCTAAGCACCACCAAAACAATCATCATGCACAAAATAATTAATTAATAGTTAACTAACATTAAAAATAATTAATTAAAATCATAATTAGCGCCAAAAATGCAGACAAAACTTTTCCCACACAAACACACAAAACTAGCGACACGTGTCGGCCGTCGTACACATATATACCCATACAGTATATATACATACAATTATAGCAAATCTATAATCTATGGCACGCCGTATATATACAGCCATTAGTGTTGAACACAAACACAACACAATCGACACAAGCATTGCATTCAATTCATTGCCATTTGTATTGCAATCGGATTTTGGACTACAATTCAAATCACATCACAATAACAGCTGATTCAGTGACCACTCAATCAACTGATCCCTACAAGTGATCTCAAGAACAGTCGAGACATACAACAGACGAGTGGTAACCGTAAGGCAAGTGCGAAGACATCAGACATCTGGAGGTATGGCTGGTGTGGTAACCGTTGAGAAGGCAAAGGGATTGGCGGCCGAAACCAATGCCACCGCCGCCGAAGACAATACCGTCGATGACGACAAACACGTGACGGACGACCAGTCGGTGGACAACGCGGCGGCGAAGAAGAAGCGGAACCGCAAGAAAAACAAGAAAAAGGCCGCCAATGAAGAGGTGTCCGGCGATGGCGGCGGAGGCGGTGCCGACGGGTTGGCCGACGATCTCAACGATCTGGTCATCAATGGTGCCAACGGTGGCGGCGAAGAGCCAGCGGCTGCTGTCGCTGAAGGAGAGAACGGCTCGAGTCAACAGAAAGCGGCCAAAAAGAAGAAGAAAAACAAGTCCAAGAGTGGCGGCGCCGGTGCTGGCGGTCAGGTGTCTACTACTGGTGGTAAACAGCAGACAACGCCGCCGTCGATACCGATCGTTGAGCTGTTCCCCGACACCAATTACCCGTTGGGCGAAGTGGTCAACCATCCGGTGCCGGCCGGTGTCGACGGGTATGTGTTATATTAGTTTTTTTGTGTGTTATCTATTACTGGATCTAATCAATTGGTTATGTCTTCAGCAAAACAGCGATGGATAGGACCAGCAATGCGGAGAAGCGTGCGCTCGACTCGGCCAGCGATGAGATATACAAAGAGCTCCGATTGGCCGCCGAAGCGCACCGACAGACACGCAAATACATGCAATCCGTGATAAAGCCGGGCCTAACCATGATTAACATCTGGTACGTGTTGTCCATCACCACCACTTCCCACCTTAAGACACACATTAATGATATCATTATAATCTATAATCTAATCCCATAAACAGTGAGACTCTGGAGGAAACGGCTCGGAAACTGATCGGCGAGAACGGTCTGGAGGCGGGGCTGGCGTTCCCGACGGGGTGTTCGCTCAACCACTGCGCCGCTCACTACACGCCCAACGCCGGGGACCCGACTGTCCTCCAGTACGACGACGTGTGCAAAATTGATTTCGGCACTCATATCAACGGCCGTATCATTGACTGCGCCTTCACCGTAGCCTTCAATCCCAAGTACGACAAACTCCTGGAAGCGGTCAGAGACGCCACCAATACTGGTATACGTGAGGCCGGTATCGATGTCCGGCTCTGCGATGTCGGCGAAGCCATACAGGAGGTGATGGAGAGCTATGAGGTGGAGATCGACGGCAAAACTTATCCAGGTTTGTGTGTGTGCTTTGTGTTGCCGGCCATCGACTGTCTGACCACTAACTGGTGGTGCCGTCGATAGTGTTATGACTAACTCGTTGAATGTCTGACCACTGATACGCCACTGATCACTGTTTGACCCGTATTTTAGAAGTTGTTATCATAATTAGCATTTTGATTGTGAATCCCAGGGCCTACCAGTGCTCGCAATTTACTACAGATTTAATCATTGATAATTAATGAACACTTAATTACAATCACATTTAATTAACATAAATGTTATTATTTTTTATCTTATAGTTAAGTCCATTCGTAATCTCAACGGCCATTCCATTGGTCCCTATAGAATACACGCCGGAAAGACTGTACCCATCGTTAAGGGCGGCGAACAGACCAAAATGGAGGTACAGTACCACCGCCTCCCCCACCTTCAACCACACCCCTGTCTACCCCTAGGGGGTGTCTGGCGTTGATCATTAACCGCTAAATTTACCATATTTTCAATAGGAAGGCGAGTTCTACGCTATCGAGACGTTTGGCAGCACAGGCAAGGGCTACGTTCACGACGATATGGAGACCTCTCATTACATGAAGAACTTCGACGTGGGTCACGTGCCCCTACGGTACGTATTGGGCCACCCCTGGCCCCCTCCAGGGGCAGTGGGGTTTGATATGCAGTGTTTTAATTGATTTTTACATGATTTTTTTTGCTCCCGTACACAGTTTGGCCAAATCGAAACAACTGTTGAACGTGATCAACCAGTCGTTCAGCACGTTGGCCTTCTGCCGCCGCTGGCTGGACCGACTCGGCCAGAATCGGTACCTCATGGCGCTGAAAGACCTGTGCGAGAAGGGCATTGTGGCCCCCTATCCGCCCCTCTGCGACCAGAAGGGCTGCTACACCGCGCAGTTCGAGCACACGATTATGTTGCGGCCCACCTGTAAAGAGGTGGTCAGCCGTGGCGATGACTACTGAGTGCAGGGGTTGTGAGGGGTGGCCACCCCTGTTGCGGGTGTCGTACCTCATGATGAAGTACTTTATTTGTTAGTTTAAAAGTATTTTTTAATTATAATTACATTTAAAACACGATTATTATTGATATTATTATTATTATATAAGTCTATCTCTAAGTATAGATCTAATGATTAAAATCGCTATTTATTTATAATAAGGGTTCAATATATATATATATTGTTGTAATTATAATTGACTGAATATATTATAATTATAATTAATAGTAATTATTAAATATTATGTGAATTAGTTAATAAATATAGCGATCGATTGATACGAAACACAATACAAAACATAAATGATTATAAAATTTGAAAAATTCATACTTTTTTGTTGTTTGAGACATGATTTTTGTACTATTGTTTTGTTTGTGTTTTAATTAATTAATTTTTTAATTATTATTTGATTTATAAAACTCATTGACAAATATATTTAACATGATATACGAAATACTATTGTACACAACGAGTGATTATATACTGTATTTAATAATATTGCCTGTATTTATAGCCTATGATAGGTATATGTATTGTATATAATTATTAATAGGTTATATACTAATTAATACAATCAATGCGATTAGTGTTTTATTGGGCGTTAATAATGCAGTCATTTATTATAAACGTGTTTTAATTTGATTACAAATTATAATCATATTTTTACAGTAAAACAAAATACAAGTCTATTAATAATTAATTTTTGTGGTGAAAACCATGTTGACTGCCGTTTCAATGATTTTGTTATTTAAAATCAAACTTTTTTCTTAATTAAAATAAAAAATTGTCAATTAATTGGCCAGAAATGTGTTAATAGCTTTAATCCCAGACCCCAGACATACACAGGGGCTCTCCCGGGGCTGTAAACCTCCCGATTAACCGTAAGTAAAGTTTATAAATACTATTGCTATTGAAATGTATATGAAAATTAAGCACAATGCCGACAGATGTCTCAATGTGTACCATAATGTTAATTGTATGGCACCGGTAGGCAATACACGCTACATGTCTATGGCCTGGGTATCCAAAAGGCATCCAATTTCCTGATGCTATTCACATGAATATTCAATACAAATGAATGGGTTTAATGGGAATGAAAGGCCTTATAATTAGCGCTATAATTACGGAGACATTAATTGATTTTTATTAATATTAACACAAAAACAGTAGTAGTTTTAAAGAAATGGTAGCTTTTTTCTGCTGTAGATTTTACCATAATTTAACACTTAAAGGCACACAACAATTATTGGGGTTATTACATAACACACCCGCCCAACCCTCCGGTACCGACACAAACACCGGCCACCTCTTAGAAACACTACTAGTAGTGTAATATACGTGTGATTATTGATTAATATAAAAATAATGACAACTTGTTTCATTAATAAATAATTGTTTTTAATAATGATTTTTGTTAATCAAAATTTATAAAAAAAAAATTAGGGAAGTGTCGAGAAATGTGTTTTTAAAATAAAATAGTTTAAACTATTTTGTGTTGTTTTGCAAAGTTTTTACCATAATTTCTGAACAATTGTAAACCAGTAAATCTATGGGCGCCTCAGTTGGGGCACCATTTTGACCACGTTTACAATTACCCGAATAAGTTATTATTGCAGAAACAAACAATAGGCGAATTAAATCTAGATATTTGTTATTAATTGACATTTTTACAATTTTTAATTCCAGGATTTTTAAATAAATGTTATTTGATATATAAGTAATATTTATAAATAATTTTTTGATTTTAACATTAAAATTTAGTTCAATTATTAACACAACAATCAGTCCTTTAGATAAATATATGGGGTTTAGGCGAAGAAGAGACGATTTTGTTTTGTTGTTCACAAAAAGTCATTATTCATTCAAATCCTGCATTTCTTATCACTTCAATGGGTATTAAAATCTCTCTCTCTCTCTCTCTCTCTCTCTCTCTC